TTTTTTTTACATCAGTAGTAATAAAATACGGAACCGTTTAAACTTTCATACTGGTTCATCCTTGGCCGAAAGATAGAATTCTAAGTGCACACACAAAGTCCGAGTTGGGATCCCTGCAGTGACACAGGCAGGCCATTCAGGCTTCCCATCCTGATATTCTACTCACTGTGTTTGTCTTAGTAACGAGGCAGGCAGCACAGATCTTACCTTTTGACCACCAGCTTCAGGGTCTTATGGGACCCCTTCACCAGGCAAATTGCTTCCTGTCTAAATCCCGAGAGACCGATGTCATTGATGCCAACGATCTCGTCTCCGGCCAGTAACTTGTCGACTGCTGCGGCTTTACTTCCTTCTTCAATCTGAAACAGAAAAGCATGTTCCGTGAGCCCCTGCGTGAGCAGGCCATTCCCGAGTAAAGGAACACCACATGCCTGCAGTGAACGGGGCCCCGGGCTGACCCTGTTCCCACTCGGGGCACCAGGGGTGCACTAACACGGGGCTTCTTTCACTGACCCCTCGTGCAGGTAGCCTTTCCCAAGGACATGGGTGCTGTTCACCGGGAGAGCAGGAATCTCAGAAACACACACAACCGAAAATATGGAACCCCAAGATACCGATTCATTTTCTGGATAATTTTGGACGACATTTATCATTTACTAATTCTTTCTCATGCATTAATCCTGGACCCAGTTAGATCACTTTTGCAACAGCTTTACTGAGATCTAATTCAAATACCATACATTCTCTCATAAACTATACAATTGCACGGCTTTTATAACAGTATATTCACAGAGCTGTACAACCATCACCACCATCGATGTTAGAACACTTCCCTAATCCTAAAAGAAACCTCATGCCCATTAGAAGTCACTTTGCAATCCTCCCCAGCCCTTGGCAACCACTAATATACTTTCTGTGTCTACGTATTCGTCTGGACAGTTCACATAAATGCAATCATACAACAACGTGGCCTCATGCATGTGGCTTCTTTCACCGAGCATGGTGCTTTCAAGGTTCATCCACGTTGTGGTGTAGTAGTGGGCCTCAAAAATATAAAAAGTTATTATAAAAATGTTGTTTCAAGACTCATTCCTGTCTATAGAGTAAAAAGCTTGTACTTTGTAAACCTCGCCCTAACAGAAAAATCTGTACTCTGTAAGCAATGACCTTGTAACTGATTGTGTAAGCCCCCCAGCTGTCTGCAGTCAAATTTACTGTACTTGCCTCCCCAAGAAAGAATGCTCCCTGCCTTAACTGCTGCTATCTGCTTCTGTAACCTTGCTTGCTCAAAGATTGTAATCAGTCCCGAGGCCAGGCAGGTGGTCTGAGGCAGGTCCTAGACCCCGAGGCTATGGAATGTATGATGTAATTATTTCTATTCCACTATGTCGTGTTTAATGTCACATAGCCTCCCCCTCCAAATTAGTATAAAGCCTTCTCACCTTTTCGGCTCGGGGCTGCTCTCTGTGCTGCTGCCTCTCAGCGGTGCAGACGGTAGTCGCTGGCCAGCTAATAAAGACTCACAATTTGGCTCAATTTGGTCTCTCAGTGGTCACTTCTCGCACTCCGTACCATAACAGTGGCATGTGTCAGTGCTTCATTTCTTTTTATGGCTGAATAATATTCCACTATATGGATGGACGACACTTTGTTTATCCATCCATCAGCTGATGGACATGTGAGTTGCTTCTACTTCTGGCTACTGTGAATGATGCTGGAATGAACGTGGGTGTGCAAGTTTTTGCGTGGACATGTGTCTTCATTTCTCTTGGGTATATAGTTAGAAGTACAGGTGGGAATTGCTGGGTCCCATGCTAACTGCGTTTAACACTCTGAGAACCTACCAAACTGTTTTCCAAAGCACTGCACCACTGTCCACGCCCACCAGCAGTGTTTGGAGGTTCCAAGCCCGCCACATCCTGGCTAACACATCTGTTTTCTATTCCACTCCTCCTCGGTTACTACACCACGCTCTGTGTATTAAGACACTCACTACTCAGTGCTAAACAGCCTGCTCTCAACACATACCCCTGACTCCTTAAAAAGCTTGACTGTCACTCATTTTATGATAACTTTTATCCTGAGAAACACTGGTCTTTAATTCCTATATGGTAATAATCCAATTTAGCTGCAATTAACCCCAGTTGACACACCTATTTTCTGAACTAACAGTGCTCAGTAAGTCAAATCCAGCCAGCTGCCTTTTTTTCTGTAAATAAAATGTTACTGGAATACAGCCACACCTATTCATTTACATATTGCTACAGGGCAGAATTGAGTAGTTTGGCCCACAAAGCCAAAAATATTTACTACTTGGCTTGTTCCAAAAAAGGTTTGCCAAACCCAGTTTTACACCAAAAAGCTTTACAAACCGCCAGGAAAACCAGTGGAAAAAAAAAAATCACTGGTTATGAGCACATCAGTGTACAGTTTACAAGTTTGCTGCCGTTTGACTCTACACCATGGCTAACCCAAGAATAGTTTCCAAAAGTCAGTACTAACTCAGTACACTCCCCTGGGAGTTAAAAAAAAAAAAAAAAAAAAAAAACTAGGTGGTAAGCAACTTAGGTTGCCTCAGTTCTGCAGTTGCATTTTCCTAAAATCTCCACCTAGACCGAGGACAACCGAACTCTTGTGAATAAAGCAATTATTCACTGCAAGCCAACACCATAAACAAAATTAAAAGACCACTCCTAACAAAAATACGAAGCAATTCAGTGAACAACTGGCTTCAAAATCCAGACAATTTTATCCCAATGTCATGAGAGATTGTAAATAAGTTTCCACCCACCCAAGACTGCACACTCAGCCATGGATAGCAAAATGCAGGAGACACATGGTGGAGAGCAGATTCTGACATGCCCTGAACAAGAGGCCAGGGGGCCGTCTGGGTGGACGTCCAGCGGGGTAGGGGATCTAGGGTACTCCCCACCACCCCCCCCCCGCCATGTTCTGCACACAGGAAGGGTCTTTGTTCCAGGCCACACCAGGACGATGGTTCAAAGACGGAGGGGGGCATTAGTATCGCCACATCACTGCTACGTGCTGTAGCTGGGATGATCCACGCACATCTGTATGTCAGCGACAGAAAGCCTGAGTGTCGATGGGGCTGACTTTGCTCATTGCTACTCCCGCTCTGAGCCAAATAAGGTGGGAAAGACAGTGAAACTCAGGGTGCGGCTAAAGAGGCCAGTTACCCAGGGATTCCAAAGCAGTTCCCGGCATCCTGGGGCCAGTCTTTCCTTTCAGAGAACTCTGGTCTTCAGTAACTCTTCTTGACTGTAAGGAATTCCACCTTGTTCAAAGGCCACAGAAGCTTCTTCTATCCATGTGCACGCATTTCAGGGCTGCAAATTCCAGCCCCTAAGAATTCTGGTTTCTTTTTCCTGATTTCCTAGTATTTACAGTGGATAACACAGCTTACCTGCAATATTGATGCTATTAATTACTAATGTAGGCTGAGTGCAGTGGCTCATGCCCGTAATCCTAGCACTCTGAGAGGCTAAGGCGGGAGGGATCCCTTGAGCTCAGGAGTTCAAGATCAGCCTGAGCAACAGCAAGACCTGTCTCTACCGAAAATAGAAAAATTAGCCGGGTGTGGTGCTGCACACCTGTAGTCCGAGCTACTCGGGAGGCTGAGGCAGGAGGATCACTTGAGCCCAGGAGTTTGAGGTTGCAGTGAGCTAGGCTGATGCCATGGCACTCACTCTAGCCCAGGCAACACAGTGAGACTCGTCTCAATTAAAAAAAAAAAAAAAAAAAAAAATTACTAATGCGCACAATGTACAAAAAAAAGGTCTAATATAAGGAAATTGCAATTCAAAGCTTAAGTTAGATATAACAAATCATTTCCTAACAATTCTTAGCTTAAACTGTCTACAACTGACCTCATTCAGAATAAATAATAACTCCTTCTCCCATAGAGATACCCTCATGACTAAATGTAAACATACAACTTATTTATTACAAATATGTGAAAAGATTGGCCTCTTTAAGTACATTTTGATGGTGATATTTCTCCCCTTAAACTGTACTTCATGTTATTGTTTTGTAAAATTTTCTCCAAAGCAGCAAAAAGAAACAATTCATATATATTTATTTACATTTATCTCATTTAAGATTTAAACACTGACCTCTGTGAGTATAGATGCTTTTTCCCAATTCTAATTCTACTGTGAAAGGAAACATGGTATAAACTGAAAATTCAATTTATACATTTAATGAGTTAGAATGATGGCATGGAAAGGTACTAAGGGGAAGAATCCAACGTTTTAGGTAGAAGAGTAAAACATAAAACATTGATCAAAGTAACAAAATTGTGAGAATAACACCACCAGTCACATGCTAATGAGATATCTTCTTACAAAACTAATTTAGCCTGTATTTTGAAGAGTACCCCAAAATGCACATTTACAAAGTATACTTCTATCATCACAAATTTCTAAAGACAGAACTTTACAATTATTATTATTTGCCTTTAAATAATTATGAATTCTAGGTGGAAACAACCCGAATGTCAATCAACAGGTGAATGGATAAATAAAATGTGGTCTACACATACAAAGGAATAGTATTCAGCCTTAAAAAAGAAGGAAATTCTATCAGATGCTACAACATGGACGAACTTTGAGGACATTGTGCTCAGTGAAATAAAGCAGTCAAAAAAGGACAAATACCTTATGATTGAATTTACGAGGTACCTGAGTTGTCAAACTCACAGACACAGAAAGCAGAACGGTAGGGGCTGGGGATGGGAGGGAATGGGAGTTAGTGTCTAAAGGGCAGAGGTTCAGTTTGGAAAGATGAAAATTTCTGAAAACGGATAGTGTTGATGGTTGCAAAACAATGTGAATGTGCTCAATGCTGCTGAACTTACACTTAAAAATGGTAAATTTTATGTTATGTATATTTTACCAGAATAAAAAGTTATGCATTCCTTGACATCTAAAAACAAGGAAACTATTTTGGCCCAGTATAAGAGTGATATATACTGGATTTGTTTTTTGGGTTTTTTTTTTTTGAGACAGTGTCTCACTGTGTCACCCAGGCTACAATGCCATCATCATAGCTCGCTGCAACCTCAAACTCCTGGGTTCAAGTGATCCTCCCACCTTGGCCTCCCAGAGTGCCAGGATTACAGGCCTGAGCCACCGCACCTGGCCATGCTGCACTTTCAAACTGTGTCCTTTTCCCTATACTGATAGCCTTGAATTCAACTATTATGAGAAAACCTTTAGGCAAAACCACGATGACTAATGGCTTGTGGGGTTTTGGGACAGTTTTTGGACCAGCATTTCCTCAGGGTGACACATTACCTGTGTCTGATTCGGCCGTGACCAGGTGGGTTTTTCAGCCTCAT